GATACATACACGATACAAATTAACGGCCTTATGGCAGTTGCTTGACCATACTTCCCCACACTGGTCAGTGCATATTTAAGGGTGTGAGTGGGGTTACAATTAGCTCATGTAACACGTACCACTGATGTTAAGTCATGGTTGGGAATTGAATTCAGGTCAGTGGCCTCAAAGCGCAGTGCACTAACCACTATACCACCCCTCACTCACACATACATCTACATATACAGACACTACACAGCCCATCTCTGTTTTAATGAACAAGGTCATAATGAAATTCATGTAGATTTCAAAATGCCTTAATTGAAATACAATGGAATTCCCTCATTTACATAATTGGCTTCATTGAAATACAATTGAAATAATGTATTACAACCGTCTCTTTTCCTTTTCGAACGGCATAGACACATGCGCATGGACACGCATGTATATATGCATATATTTACGTAACATTTGAACACGCAGAAAAATACATGCAATGATTCTTGTAAATAGTTGTTTAATTTGTTTTTACCTCTTATTTTCAAACCTGGTCACTTTTTGTTCGTCAGACCACTAACATTGTGTAGTAAAACAAAACACAAGATTAATTTCAGTCTAACACGTAGTAGGGTTGGGTTAGATCGTGTAAGTATAAATGTGTCGGCTCAACCCACCGCCATCCGACACAGCCAATTAGTAAAGTTTGTCACGTAAACAAAACATGACAATTCGTTACGAGTACACCACACCAGTGTGTTGGAGAGTAAACCCACAACAATTGGAGTACGACGTTTCGCCAGTAATTATAACTAGCATCATCAGGTGACAGGCAGATTTATTTTATACTATTGACGGATTGGCACGTTCTGTTTACATGACAAAACCTTACTAATTGGCTGTGTCGGGTGGTGGCGGGTTTAATGACACATTTATATTTATGCAATCTAACCCAAAAAACTTCTATTACACTGGTCTACAGTTTCTAGACGTCGTCTGCCTCAGAGACGAAATGTGCTGTTTATGATGGATCTTGATGTGCTGAATTCAAATATGACAATTAAAACGACTGATTGGCTACTCCCTTGTCACTGTCCAGCAATAGTCTGCAAGCATTGATGGGCTCCATTTGCCCTGATAGCGTTTCTCCATTGTTGCAATGTCCTGGTGAAATCGATCGCCACGCTCGTCGCTCACTGCTCCGCAATTTGGTGGGGAAAAAAATCTAGATTAGAGTGCAAAAAATGTATCTTTAGTGACGTGTTGCTACCAAGGTTTGTGTATTGCTTGAGGAGGTTTTCCTCCAAATCCACGTAGTTGTCTGCCTTGTTGTTTCCGAGAAAATTTGTTGCCACTAACTGGAAGGCTTTCTATGCCGTCTTTTCCTTGCCACGCAGTGCACGGTCAAATGCATCATCTCGAAGAAGTTCACGAATCTGAAGACCAACAAAGACACCTTCCTTTATCTTAGCTTCACTTAACCTTGGACATTTTCCACGGATGTACTTGAAAGCTGCTTTTGTTTTGTCCATGGCTTTGACAAAGTTCTTCATCAGACTCAGCTTGATGTGTAAGGGTGGTAACAAAATATCCCTTGATTCAACAAGCGGCGGATTCAGAACACTTTTCCTCCCAGGCTCATTGGAGCCTGGAAATAAAAGTGTTTTGCCAATCGATCTTCATGTCGTGGGAATCTCTCGCACAACTATCCCCTTCGCAGAGAAAACAGCAGTACTTTGTGTATCCAGCCTGCAGACCAAGCAAGAGAGCAACAACCTTAAAATCTCCACAAAGCTGCCACTGATGTTGGTCATAGTTGATGCACCTCAAAAGTTGTTTCAAGTTGTCATAGCTTTCCTTCACATGGACTGAGTGACCAACTGGAATTGATGGCAAAACATTGCCATTATGTAGCAAAACAGCTTTAAGACTCATCTTTGAATAATCAATGAACAGTCTCCACTCATCTGGATCATGAACGATGTTGAGGGCTACCATCATACCATCGATGTTGTTCCAGGCTACAAGATCACATTCCATGAAGAAGAATGAGACAAGATCCTTTTGACGGTCACGGAACATGGAAACCCTAACATCACCTGCCAGGAGATTCCACTTCTGCAGTCTGGAGCCCAACAGCTCTGCCTTACTCTTGGGTAGTTCCAAATCCCTGACATGGTCTTTCAGTTCACCTTGTGTTATGAGGTGTGGTTTAGAGGAGGAGGAACAGGGAAAATCTGGGTCATGTAACCTTGATGGTTCAGGCCAGAAGTTGCATCCTTTTCCTCGTCTGACTCAAGTGATAATGATTTTGGTGCATCAGGTACCGGCAGTCCTTCTCCGTGGGGTAATGGATGGATTGTTTGGATCATGCACAGTCCACTTTTCTTCTTTGACACACCTTTCCCAACTGGAGGCGCCATGCAGAAGTAACTAATGCTGATATGATCTGTTGGCTCTCTAAAAAATCATTGGCACTGCAAAAGGCATAGATTTCCTTTTCCTGTTCAACCACTGGTGATGATTTGTTGCACAAGTGTTGCAGCATATGTGTGGGGCCCACATCTTTTCCTGATCTCCAATTTTGCAGCCAAAATAAAGGTGAAAGGCTTTCTTAACCATAGTGGCTATACTGCGCTTTTGTTATGCAAAAGTCACTTCACCACAAACATAGCAGAAGTTATCTGCTTTGTTCACACAAGTACGAGGCATCTCTGCTAAACATAAATGTGTCCCTTTGCAAAATCAAACACTGACAAATAAGAGAGCACGACACTGCATGATTTCTAGAGCTGATATAGGGCAATTTGTTCAGCAGAGGGATGTAAGCCTAGTTATGATTGCATCATCCATAATTTCTAGGAATAACATGATGCAATTCATATCATGTATGACGCAATACCAGGTTCAGATTGCATCATTAATTTTTTTGCTCAAAAAACAAGGACTGTCCAAATCCAGCCATAGATTTATTCAATAATCCATTCACAGACGTATTTCAGTAATTTCTGGTTTAAAATTAGATCCCTTCCATTTATAACTCACTTACCCTCCGCCATTCCCAAGTCAAGGGTCGAATATATTCACCCAGTAGCATTTCTTTAAAACGAGAGCCAATCAACAATTTTAAGCATCATTTTCATTCTTAGTGACCCAGCATTAGTAAAGTTGGACTACATTCATTTCGGAAGAATTTTGGCTGTAGACCAGTGTTATGGAAGATGAATTTTCATAAGAGTATAAAAAATTTAACCACATAACAACATCGCCCTCGAAATGCTGAAATTACTGCAGATTATGTCTGCGAGACATGGTCACCTTCCTTCGTAATAGCATTGCGCTATAAGAATGGCACAAGTACAGAATGTGCTTACGATGTGATTTGATCACATACAGCATGTTAACAATCACTCTAAAACAATAATTGTAGCAGTCCATATGATTAATGCAGAAAGACGATTAAAGCATAGAGAAAAACTCTGACTGCAGAAAGTCGTTGAAAATGAGCCCAGCCCTCCCTGTTGCTACCTGATAGCAACTTTCACAGATACCTCGCTCGCTCCCTCGCATGAATACAGAGTAGGCAGCAAAATCTCGCACAATCTATGAATAAAAGTAAATTGGCGATCCATGCCACCAAGGCAGCATTTGCGTTCTTTTCTTTTAATGCTACATAAAAAAACCAAACAGAATGTTTGAAAGTATGGCATCAGAGTACTGAGCCAGGATTTCGGCTGACATCAGGGGTTCTAATCGAGGTATCTACCTGTGATTAAAATGGTTTCTCCAGTGTAGTAAGGTGATGATGTCAGCCTAAACACTTACGACTGTACAAAAACAGATGGGTTGCCACTCAATTATCAAAATTGCATTCTGGGAATTACATGTTTTGCTTTTATTGCAAAATGACACTACACTCTTTGCAGCAATTAAAAAGGAGCATGGATCTGAGGCCCGCTGATGATTCCATCACAGAAATAATTATCTCATGGAAACTTTTATGGTGATGCAATGCTCACTCGGACGTCTCAAACTGATTGTTTTAATTTTCACAACACGATGCCAAAAGCATAAACAGAATATAATTGCTTGAAAACAAAACACGTGTGTTCAGTGCATATGCAAGGCCCACACAAGGGAGGAACCAGAGTCACTGTGAGAAGCAGATATGCAACACATATCGGGTAGGTGCAATACATGTGTTGCTTCGATTCTTCGCTTGAAAATACATTGTTGAATCTAGAGCAGAGCTCACCCGAGTGATGTTCAATAAGATGACACTGGATACATATTTTTTTAAAAGCTCACCATCATGCGGTGCCATGGAGCGCTCACATTTCATCCGTCACGTGAGAATTTACACAAAGCCCCTCCTGACAATCTGGAATCCAACAACACAGGACGGGGAAAACTACCACAGGGGCAGCACTCACCGCAAGTATTTACGTGTCAAACATGAACGGCCAAAAGCAATATATCAAAACATTCGCTGAAGATGTTGAAGGTGAGAAGGCTCTTGTTAGTGGCTCATGAATATTACAAACAAGGACATGTAATTTTACAAAAGTAACTTTTGCATTTAAACATATTCCACATTCTGATGAAAAGGGCAGACTCAAGAGTGCCAATTGAACAGGCACCATCATAGCATCTTACAGTTGCTATGGTGCGCAAAGTGAAAGTTACAAATTCAATTCCCAGTCAGTTGTAGGTTCAACTTATAATTCCCACAAGCTAAATGAAAATAGGACCACTTTTGTATGAGATATATCATCCCTGGAGACTGGCCCTCACCATGAGAATGTGACATTTTGACCACTGGCTCAGGTCCAAAATAATTATGATCAATGTCCAAGAGCTCATTTGCACTTGAATCCATGGTGACCTTTGACTTTTGACTTTTATTTATTTCGGTTCATGTCCGATTTTGGCAAAACACATTACTCCCTACCGACACAGAGAGACTGACAGGGCATATTTAACGGACACCGCTCCATGTGGACAAAGTGCTTGTGTATAATCACCTGGTTGGAGGACAGGGGTTCCCCGAACTGCTTACGCACGGTCAGGTGCTCGGTTGTCTGCAAGATGGAGGCGTACGCTGCTCCGAGGGAGCACGACGCTGCGGAGACCGACACGAGGAGCACAGGCAGAGGCAGTGAGCGACCAGGACGGGGACACGTGCGCGCACGCAGACACGGCAGCAGCGTGGGACATGAGTGAAGACAACCCTGCAACTCAAGGAGGGAGCAGGTGGCGTGCTGTGTACACTTGCATGAGAAAACTTCAAGCACTCTATTTTACATCAACTGTAAAACGCATCTTGCTAAATGTGTTGTGTCTCTTGTGTACAAGAGTCTATAAATCTTACCTGTAAATGTCATTTTTTGTCTGTCTGTGTGTGTGCGCACACTTGCGAAGGATTTGGCTCGCAAACCGTGGGGTTTACGTCAAAAAAGAATTAGCCAGGTACGACGCCGTAAGCCCCACGGTGAGCAAGCGCTATTCCGTTTTCACATCCGTCAACTTTAAAGTACTTTAATTAGCGATTTTGTGCTGTTTTCGATTATTATTCATTAAATTGCGCGCGATCGACCATACCAACTCACACGCCTTCGGTGGGGGGGACGACCCCTACCAAGCCACACGCGTTCGGTGGGGGTGAGGAGGACATTTTCTTTTACGCGTTCAAAATTCAATACAAATACACATAACGCTTAAGGTGAATTCTTCACAGTGTGATGTCCTCTTCTCCCCCCCCCACCCCGATGCGTGCAGTTTCTACTATAGAGTCCATAGATATTAATATTATAGCGCTTAGAAAGTTTTATTGTAGCGCGGGCGAGGGGATGGTGGGAGGGGGTAGCGGCCCAGCCCCCAGCCTGCCAAGGTGCCACCTCGGCCAGCTGGGCAATCCAGGCGAGGCCGGGGGCTCTGCACGCGACTAGGCCTCACGACACCACTCTGTCAGGTTAGTTGTTTGCTCGCACCACAATCAGTATGCTCTGCTGTAATCCATAGCAGGTACCACCACATTCAGCATGCACTGCTGTAGTGAAAGCAGGTACCACCACAGTATGCACTGCTGTAATCATAGCAGGTACCACCACAGTCGGTATGCACTGCTGTAGTGAAAGCAGGTACCACCAAAGTTTCTATGCGCTGCTGTAGTCATAGCAGGTACCACCACAGTATGCACTGCTGTTTATCAACGCAGGGACCACCAGTCAGTATGCACTGCTGTAATCATAGCAGGTACCACCAGTCAGTATGCACTCATGTAGTGAAAGCAGGTACCACCACAGTATGCACTGCTGTAGTCATAGCACGTACCGCCACAGTCAGTATGCACTGTTGTAGTGAAACCAGGTACCACCACAGTCAGTATGCACTGCTGTAGTGAAAGCAGATACCACCACAGTATGCACTGCTGTAGTGATAGCAGGTGCCAACACAGTCGGTATGCACTGCTGTAGTGATAGCAGGTACCACCACAGTCGGTATGCACTGGTGTAGTGATAGTAGATACTGCTATCGAGTTGCTAGATACTGCTATATAGAGTTAGTAGATACTAAAACAGTCAGTATATACCACTACGATCAGAAAATACTGCTAGAGTCAGTAGATACTACTAAACAGTCAGTAGGTACTACTACGGACAGTAGCTACTGCTATACAGTCAGTAGATACTGCTATAGAGTTAGTAGTTACTACTATAGTCAGTGAATACTATAATAGAGTCAGCAGATACTACTATAGATTAGTAGTTACTACTATAGAGTAGGTACAGTAGATACTACTGTAGGGCCAGTAGATACTACTACGGTCAGTAGTTGCTACAGTCAGTAAATACTACTACACAGTCAGCAGCTACTATTGGCTCAGTAGATACTCCTGTACAGTCAGTAGATACAACTACAGAGTCAATAGATACTACTTACTCTGTTGTCTGTAGGTTGTCTATGTATATAAACCTACGCGGGGGTAAAAATATTTTTTAAGCTGTGGGGGGGGGGGGGGGGTGGTCGACAATTTGCGGAAACTTTTTATATCAACTATTTACCCCCCACTTTCTATAACTTTTTGGACTTCTGCAAGCCTCTTATAATTTTGTTGGTGGAGAAATGGACAAACGGCCCACCGGGCTTTCACAATCGCTTACTATCTGTGTATGTATATGTAAGGTTTTTAAGATAAGTTTGAAATATATGTTTCACCCGGGCAACACCAGTTACTTCCTGCTAGTAATGCCTATAAGAATGGTGGCAAATCAGATGCAAAGTGTGAAAAGTATTTCTTACAGAAAACAGGTTAATTAGAAACGCATCGTTTCTGTAAAATCGAATTGGATTTCGAACATCTAGAAGCTGAATAAAGCCAAATGCTCACCAACTTAATAGGTTCCATTTTAGGTCAGTAAAGTAATTACATGCTACTCACTGCTCTGCTCAGTCAAGTTATAAAACTTAACATGTAAACGCTTAGAAACGTCAATATATACGACAGCACATACCGGTACACTGGCCTCTTACCAACGTCTATATTACCATCCTCCGTCCAACAGAGGATTGACCATGGCTGCTGATAATCAGAATGACATGAATTGTACATGCAATGCGGGAATTAATGATTCAAGGACACCAACATTTAGTCAGTGAGTAAACTTGACAGAAAGAGTAAAAAAAGCAAGCTTTGTGATTGAAGGACTAAGAATGAAATACATCTTTGCTCTCAAAATGATACAGTGAAGCTTGTCATATTGATTGACCAGGGATATTGATACCTAGCAAACAGACATCTGACAATTGACCCTACCTCAGGGGTCAAAAAGTCCATCAAAGTCGCGGCCATAAGTCCGCGAGTTCAAATGTCGGTCGGGAGTCGACTTATCCTTTCATCCCTCGAGGGGATGCTTTGTGGGAAGTTAACAAGGTAGTTGGGCAATGGACAGACTCAGCTCTGCCATAGGCATGTGACATTTTCACCAAAGGATTTTGGTTTTAATTATTAAAAATAGGCATCGCGTCGCACTGATTTCAGCAGCTATGCACGTTGAGTTTTTAAAGTAAAAATCTAAAACGCTCACACTCTCTGTTTAACGTACTCGATAATATTTAGACACATAAGGGTTGCGTTTTGAGGAGTGTTTTGGTAATAGAGCTATGGGATATTGTGCAGGGCAGAATTAAGGTCACTCAGGCATGCTGTTCGGTATATGGTTTTAGAGGTTAAGCATCGTTAATATACGGAAGATTACGACATGGTAGGATATTGACAGATGGCGGTGGCTTGGGAATGCCTTCATCCAGCAGTGGATTAACCATAGCTGATGAAGATACATATGCAGTAATATTATATTTCATGGTAATGCTCTGCTAATAATCCTGCTGTTACAAAGCTTAACAACTTACTCATGCGTTTTTCATGTATAATTGCAATAACCAAAAAGCGGCAAATAACTCATTATAATTGATAGCATCATAAATTCTGCAAATTTTAGAGGTAATTAAAGTCCTACCGAGAGCAAGTTGATATGAATAAGATGTGTGGCCATGGAGTGCCAATAATAGATTTGCAAGAAATATTACAACAGCATGGCAGAGCATTCTTAATTTAAAAAAACAGAGTTAAATTGTCATTATATAATGTGAAAAAAAAGATAAATGATATGCACGGACAAGGACAACAAATGAGCCCCTTCATAGCCACACAGATGAGAAATAAAGCAAACACAGCAAAGGCAAATCCATTTAGAAGGCATTCACTAAAGCGAATTCAGCAGACTCCATGATGCCGGCCCTTATGATTCCACTTCCAAGATGTTCATCGGTTCCGTGTTGTGCCTCCATTCTCAGCGACATTGCATCCGATCGCTCACCACACATGAGCACCGCCGCCGTGATGACGCTACCTGGATGAAGCTGCAGAGGAACGAGGATGAGCACACGTTGACTGCGCCCACGGTGCCGGCTTTCGAGCCACCGCTGCTGCGCGCACGACCTGCTGACACCGCTCCTGCCTTCACAGCCTCCTACCTACTGCTGTCCAGTTTAAGGATGGTTTTTTTTTCTCTTCACTATTCATAATCCTCAAAAGCCCAATACGTATGTAATATGGTACCTTTGCACACTTATGTAATGTGACGGTGCTGATCCTGCACACGTATCGCCGATTCGAGTTATTTCACATCACTCCCCCAACTCTACTGGACACCCCCTGCTTCACGATCACTGTCTCCTATTAAATCCTCTCATTGATCTTCGTTAAATGGAAGGGGGGGGAGGGTCATTTCAAGCTTTGCATTATGCCAGTCGATGGGCTGAGTGTACAAACGATGCATATTCTTTCATGTGACCAAGTGAAGAAATAAATACTAGCTTTAATCCATATGGGACTTTGACACATCTTAAGTTTTTGATATTAAGAATCTAATTATGTCTCTCTTCAATTACCACTATCAGCTTGCCATATGAGCAGCAATGGAACATGGCCTGTATGTCACTTTGGATGTCACAGGCGAAGACGTGTTACAGCTGGCGTCGACCCACAGCAAAAACCTTTTCATCACTAGAGGTCAGTTTTAGCATTGGGACGTCTTACTTATCGACGTGATCTATTCAATCACCGACTCATGTCTGTCTCAGATAAGTTGGAGTATCGGCAGAATAGAGTCAATCACGGAGGCGTGAGGCATGCCCGTAGCATCTCTTGGCATATTGACATCATTTGCTCGTTCATCAGGCAGGCATGATGTATGCCTCTGCCTGACAGCTGAATATATATGAATGAGCTATCAAATAAGGGTCCTTGCCTGTAAACATTGGGCAGTTCGCGAGCAATGGTTTGAGTGGGGCAGGCTCTGCTGGTAAGTCACTGAATATCAAAACCAAAGTTAAGCCAATGCTGCTGACGAGATGCACTCCCAAAGGGCCACATGGATACACGTTTGCTATTTTTAAATAAAGAGAAGCATTTCAGGAGTCGGAATTTCATTATTTTCCTATCAAACATCCAGCTGAATGGTGCTACGGTTAGAGTGCTTGACTTACAAACAGAGGTTTCTGAGTTCATACTCCAGACAAGTGCTGACTCACCCTGTCTTTCCTCCGGGGACCATTTGAGTGCAAAGCTCAGCAGCAGTCATCTTATCAGAATCAGAATATTTATTGCTACTGGAGGTATCCGATGACCAATAAAGCTCTTTTTCACAGATGTTCAGTCGGGGCGGATAAGAACGTTACGTAGAAATGAGGACCAACAACAGAGTGGATATTATAGAACATGTGATAGATTGCGTGTCATGATTACAACCCAAATATAAAATCTGAAATATGACCAAAACTCTATCACCACCCAGTGTCTATGCACTGCTAGATGAAGGACTTTTCATGCTCTCACCAACGACGGTTCCTGGGATGCTACCATTGATCTCTCTCCTCCGTACAAATTGATCTTGTGGCTCCATCTGCACAGCGAACATCCTCCCAGGGACATTTTCTCCTCACCGAGTTTATTACCATCGTTGTTGTACTTGTTATTTGGCTGATATTCTATCCATTACTTTGGAGCTGTGTCCTGCTCAAGCCCACGTGCTTTTTCGCCCCATCATCCTCTGAGCTAAGTGTGCTTCTTCACGTCTCTCACAACACAACAGTCCCAAACAATTAGAAAGGTTCCTCCAGCCTCCTTGCACAGAGGTCTCTCTTGAGAAGGCTGATGCATCTCAATGGGATTTCACCTTGCTAACGAGAATACTCAATAACAAAAGGAGTGGAATAACTGTTTACAAACTCGGGGCACATTAGCACCATTTTTACATTGGATTATTCATTAAACGCACACAGATCCACCGTATAGCCTTAACAGACTTTTTTTCTGGGGAAAGTGCTGTTAGCGAGCACCTGCGAAGGCCAGCACCGCACACAAGTGGGTGGGCGGCCAGCACCACGACCTTTGTCTCCCCAGTGACGTTGTTTTACACACTCATTTGAGCTCGAGTCGACCACACGCAGCCCCAGGACCGGTTAAAACATTCACCACTGTTATTGATCGTGAGCGGGAATCGAACTCGGGTGGCCGAGTTTGTAGTGCAGTGCGCTAACCACGACACGACCTCTCTCCACAGTGACTCACATGTTAATAACAATAATGAATGGTGAGCCCTTTCACAAACCACTGCTGGATGAGGACCTCCCCACGCCGTGTCAGCCGTGATGATAATTTTAGTTTTGTTTTTTACTACTAATATTTAAATTTTACCAGTTAAGGTGCACTGAGCTATATAGCTCTATTTCAGAAGCGACCTGGCCACAAATGATAGCCCAATGAAGTGGCTTATCACGTGGAAATTAATAGTAGCACCCAAATACTCTTAAAGCATGTTTCTAACTGTGAAGGGAAAAACCGGAGGACCCGGAGAAAAATCCACACGACCGCGGGGAGAACATGCACACTCCAAATATACAACAGGCGTCAGAGTTGGGGTCGAGCCGACGACCTCCTGTATACCAGGTGTGGCAGTTAACATCTCGTCAACATAGCACCTTATCCTATACTTATACTATACTTCACCAGTGCAGGATGGTGAGATGTTATTCACCAATTATGTTAAACTATGGCCAGATATCAAACTCAGATCGCTGGATTTTTAATATAGCACTGCGTTAATTAACATGGTTTGCACGGTTGGCTACATAAGTCCAACATACATACAGTACATGCTGGTGACTGCTTTAAGTAAAATCACTCAATACCAAAACACATAGAGAAATGTATTGAATAGAAATTCAATTCAATGACGCCTGTGGAACAAAATCCCTCCGAATGTTTGTTTAATTAGGTCTTCTTTAAAAATGACCGTACTTTTAAGACCCCTTAATACATATGTAGTGACATCGCGGGATGCCACTGTGTAATGCCGGCCCTAGAGAGGCACAGCGTGCAATGTCTTGTCATCGCGGACACCACTTGGATGTGGGTGTAGTACCGGCCCGAGAGGGGCTCGGTGAGCGCTGACTGACAGCGCTACAGCCATGGAAATGGGGTTACTAAAGGCCGTGGCACTCTGGTTGACCCCAGAGGACACGTGACCGGTTAAGTCTACACAGGGCCCCCAAGTAGGGGCTAGGGGTGATCACGCGTCAGGGTCGAGATCCTGCTGGAGGGTTCTGGAAGCTGGGCGTGGCCAAGGGCGGAGCCAGCCACGCCACAGAGGATATCAGCCGGGTCCCCCAGAGGGACCGGCGCTGTTGTTCATCCTGAAGAAATCTACGTTCTATGTTCTACAGAGTCAACAACATGTGGACCTGGACCCTAGCTAGTTACGGTGTAATTAGTGTAGTTAGCCTGGTGGTCACCACCATAGGTTGTTCTTCTGTTAAGGGGCAGTTACCCCGTGTGTTGTTGTTAAATAAATGTGTTGCCTCCAAAGAGTACATCTGCAACTCAGTTGAACTCACTAGACATAAAAAATCACTTCTTAGGTTTGTTTTCTCAAAATGCTTATTGTGCAATGTGTCCATACCTCATTAAAATGATACGTAGTGTACTATTGCATAATGTTTTCAATGCACCCTGTGTGCTACGTATCTCGCAATACAAGCATCTTCATTACCACAGCTCGGAGTAGACACCAATACACAGCAATCAGAAACTAAATGAAATGCACTGTACACGTTTACAAATCAAACGGTGGATTTGCAACAAATTACACATTTCCATGAAAGCCAAAATTATATTATTTGACCTTTTCTCTTTTTTCAAATGACTCATATTATTATTATTACACTTGTTTACCCAGGAAAACGTCAGCGAGTCAGGAGGGTCCTGCCAAGTTTTAGGGGGGGCCTGCCAAGTTTTAGGGGGGGCCGATGCAGGGGCTGATGTTTTTCCAAGACCAGCACTCCGCAACAGGGGCCGATGTTGCTGCTGCCGCTGCCGCCGCCGCTTCTGCTGCTGCTGCTGCTCTGCGTAATCCCAATCGGGTAAATTGAAAGTAGTCTTTCAGCATTGGGATGTTTTGCCAATACCAGTTACGTTGTGTACAGTTTTCTTTTGTTTGTTAGCTATGGGAGGAAACTGCAGATCCCAGAGGGATCTCATGCTTAACCTCGGGGAGAACATACCAACGCCACAAATGAAGGCATCAAGTCGGAAATTGAACCCAGCAATTTCTTGCTATGGAGCACAAGCATTAACAGCACGCAGCCTTGCCACCAAAGCCACTCTGCGCATGCATTAGAGGCTTAGATATGCTATACACTGCTGCAGAGCTGAAAATCAAGTTGATACTGGGCATAAAGTTGTCCCATTGAGCAAATGTAAAGTGTCGGCAGGCTAATCTGGAATGATCTTAGGATGCATATTTGGTAACTTGGAGAGTAACCTTTTTTCTTTAAAATTTTGCGTATATAATGAATTAACTGCAGCAACAATAACAACAAAAACGTGTCAAGATACAACGTACTATTTAAACGTGAATATCAAATAAATGCACGCGCTGTTATTTTTTATTTATATCTTGTCCAAATAGCTGAGAGACCAGTGGACCGGCCAAAAAACTGTTAACCCTCAAACAGTTGTCGCTGACCACCGTGCAATAAAATAAAAATCTTGTCCACAGTCAGGTAGATCTCAGAGTACGTGGCGGGGGTTAGGTTCCGTGTACCTCCACGTAAGCGCGATTTCCCATAAGTTAGGGTTCGCCTATATGAGTGTAGATATATAATGTACCACTATATACTACTATATTACTATACACTACTACAGACTACTATGTTACTATAGACTAGTATATACTACTAAAGTACTATACGAGCGCAGTATTTACAATGTAAGAGTGCATATAAAATTAATATAAATGCACATAAATGTTTAATAAAGTACAGTACTGTGTATAAAATTATTCACTAATCATTTGTATATGGTAAATACGAAACATGCGACCTGGGTGGACTCGTTTCTTGCACGGGCCATTGAGTTACAATGCCCTCAAATCCTTGTCCGCGTGATGGCATAGGGGGAGGTAAGGTGATTTGACTCTTCGCTTCCCGCCCTGTGCGTGTAGCGAAAGTACGAGTCACAAGGCGTAAGTATGAATCGGGGTCGGTCGCGGGTGAGCGGGTCCGCGTACTCTTGAGACCTTGCGGTATCCTGACAAACATCGTATCTGCAACAGTTCCACAGAACAATTGCTGCCACCCGGCGCACCACTGGTGCTCCGCAGACCACACGTTGGCAACCACTGCCCCAGATAAAAAAAAAACACGATGTATTTTAAATGTCACTGCAATTGGCTAAGACGTATGAGGGATGATGGTGCTACGGATCACACAGTGGCATGTATTGCTTTTGCAATTATTTGAGTGACTGTGGTCACTTTATGGATTGGCCCACGTGGAACTGCCTCGACAGCCATGCGAAAAATGCCCCTGACATAGCGCCAACCCATCCAAGGGCAAATGCTGTTCTGCATTTCTAACAAGCTATGCCTAGTTTTATTATTTTATTGTTTCCCTTCTACGTGATTTTACCGAAAGAACCAAGAATATAAGCCATGCCTAGTTTTAATTGTATCCGCACGCAACTGCTGAGTCATTGAGATGCCTAACGAATCGTGCATTTTTAAAAAAAGAACAAAGAATAGATGTATGTAGCGCTACGGAGGTTTACAACTCCAGTCTTATACTGTCCGCTTTCATTTAACCTCTGTCGAAAGCCAGAGGTTAAATGTTCAAATGAAATGCGTTCGTGATTGTACGATGGACGTACCAAGTCTTTGCTCTTATACGAATTGGTTGTGCCGTGCAGGTGACTGGCTTTCAATACAAATCTCATCTGATGGGGCCAGATCTGACAGGGATTACGGACAGTGTTTGGCCCATGAGGTCCGGGGTTGCCCATCCGTGATTCATTATAAAAGCCAACCAAGTTTCCACCAACTACCTCCAGTCCATACACGGGCACACCAAAACAACTACTCCACACGGGCACACCAAGACAGCTACTCCACACGGGCACACCAAAACAACTACTCCACACGGGCACATCAAGACAGCTACTCCACACGGGCACACCAAAACAGCTACTCCACACGGGCACACCAAAACAACTACTCCACACGGGCACACCAAAACAACTACTCCACACGGGCACACCAAAACAACTACTCCACACGGGCACACCAAAACAGCTACTCCGCACGGGCACACCAAAACAGCTACTCCACACGGGCACACCAAAACAGCTACTCCGCACGGGCACACCAAGACAGCTACTCCACACGGGCACACCAAAACAGCTACTCCACACGGGCACACCAAAACAACTACTCCACACGGGCACACCAAAACAACTACTCCACACGGGCACACCAAAACAACTACTCCACACGGGCACACCAAAACAACGACTCCACACGGGCACACCAAAACAGCTACTCCGCACGGGCACACCAAAACAACTACTCCACACGGGCACATCAAGACAGCTACTCCACACGGGCACACCAAAACAACTACTCCACACGGGCACACCAAAACAACTACTCCACACGGGCACATCAAAACAGCTACTCCGCACGGGCACACCAAAAGCCCATGAGCCATGCACAACGCTTTCCAGCATTCGTGCAGGTTAGGAGATGCGGTCTCCGTAACCAACAAAACCTCACGTATAGCTTTAAACGCTTTATTACATATCGTTTCAGTTGCGGCATTACAAGTTTAATGGCTTCCCTTGGTAAACCAGGGCTTCACTGTACCCGGTTTCCAAGATAGCCTCATGATCTATGTGTACCACACACTTACGCCTTTACAGCTCTTAACAGCATGCATAACTGGAAAAAATGAGAAACAGAATCGGCATCTTTCTTCGTCCTGGAGAAATCCGACGGGCCACGAAGCTCTTACCCCCCCCGCCCCCCACACAGATGTCTAGTAGGGGGCAGGTAAACAATTGTTGACGTTGCAACCGACTCGACGAACCCACTCGCGGCACACAACTCACGCCGCACAACTCACGCCGTACAACTCACGCCGTACAACTCACGCCGTACAACTCGCGGCACACAGCAGGCGGCACACAGCACGCGGCACACAGCACGCGGCACACAGCAGGCGGCACACAACTCGCGGCACACAGCAGGCGGCACACAGCACGCGGCACACAGCACGCGGCACACAGCACGCCGCACACAGCACGCGGTACA